AGAGCACGACGGAGTCACTCGAAACACCTAAAGAAGATTGCTTCTATGTCTCTTGCTTCTTTTGATAATTAGTAAGCAATCTGAGTTGGAGAAGAAAGACAACAACTACAAAAAGCTTTTTTAAAAAATGTTTTTTGCCACTTAGTATAGTCTAAATTGCGTATTTTGCTTCTTCTGATGATGAGCTTGTCGCAAACTATATCAGAAAGCATGAATAGGATCATTTATAAGGCAAACTCGTTCAGATTTTCTTTTTTTTTCTATCGAACCCAAGAGGATATATATAATAAACACATACGATGTCTCCGACTTGAAGCAATGGTTAAATCGGAGAGAACGAAGCACACATGTCTCCGATTTGAGTTTTCCGGCACCCATCTGATTTTAGTAAAAGGCACTTGGCACCATTCTCGTTTCGATGTCTCCGTCACTGATGAATCCTCATCTTGGATTTACAATGGTAAATAAAAACCCCTAAATCTATACTTTCATTGAGCCTAGTAGTGCGTACGTAGGCGGAAAATTCGTTTATACTTTCTAACTTAGACTTACTACGAATGCATATAAGCTTAACCTTAAAGTTAAGTTCAATTTGTAATCCGTGAGAAGTTACTTGGGACTCGCGGTTTGAATGTTTAAAGTTTTGTAACCTTAAGAGCGTAAAAAAATGTACATTATAGAAAATACAAATGATTAAGTTGCAGTTTGATGAAGAATACAGTGTTAATAGGTTTCTTGATCTCTTGCTGCATGCGAGGGTGCTCTTCTTGTTGTGGATGCATCCCAGGTGAATTTTCTTTTCCTTGACATACAATTTTCTGACACTGGAAACCTGGCATCTGTATTGCTTTAGCTGTTTTTTCGTCTGGTGAATATGTTACGGTTTTTATGACCAAGTACATTACTACAAAACACTCTAACTACTTCCTCCTACATGTGCTTTAGGGTGTGGAAGCGCAAACATTGGCTAACGTTTATTTGGCTCTAGAAAACAACCTTGAAATTATTCCTGTAAGTATGGAATTATGCTTCATCTTATCTGTCTTTATATTATTCTTCTTAGTAAATAATTTCAAGTATTTTGCTTTGTCTCTCTCTATTTGTAGATTATTCAGCGATGTCAATGCCTGTTTTATTTAAAGAAGTCAGAGTCCGCATTAAGTTAACTTCCAAACAGGCTAAACATGTTATAAAAATAGCTAGCATCACTCCAGTACATAGAAGATGCTTGAAAAGAATAGCTAGTCTAGGATAAAATGATGATATCATTTAACATTTGGTAATTGCTTGAATCTGATTTGATCATGACAATTCAGGAAACAATAATGCAGTTGTGAATAAGATTGATCTTCCAGAGCTGAGCCAGAGCAAGTTATCATGGAGATTGAGGAGGTCAGTCCCATTTTATGATATTCGTTGGTAATAGCAATCATACAATGCATTCAGTTATAACATGAATAGTATTTCTTCTTTGATGTCTGCAAGAACTCTTCTCAGTCTTTTATGTTCCTGTTGTCAAAGTGTTATGAGTACATTTAACTAGGTTCCAGCTTCTATTAGATTTGTATGTTTGATATTCTGTATAGAAGGATCTAGAAGATCCAAGATATTATTAGTGAATATATTGTATTTATTATATAGATTT